AAATCAGATAAAAAGATTTTATTAAAAAATATATCACATAGCTGCATCAAATTACTTAAAACTGCACTTCAAGAAAATCACCAACTCTTCCTGGAAACATACACAAGCAATACTCAACTCGCACCGAAATAATAACAATAACATACATAAATTCTATGGAGTCATCCATAATTTTATGAACCGATAATGTCTAATATGTATTAGTTCTTTATCAGTCCATAACTTTATATTAACAAAATTCAATTTCCAAAAAGGGGAAAAAAAATATATCACGCTGAGAATGCTTACAAAAATTAGTTCTTTCAGTCCCAAGTTCACTTTCAAACAATATACCTTGGTAACAAAACCAACCACATAACAAGAATGCTTCACACTAACTGAAATTAAAACATAGTTAAACTTAAAAGACAAATGATCATCAGTCTGCAGAATAATACTAGAGCAGAAGAAAACAACAGTAAATCCCCTCACCTCCTAAACAGAAAAATAGTTCCAGAATTTAATTATGTACACAAATATATACAACAAAGAATCAGATCTCCCATTTTCATTATTTTTTTTTTTACTTTTTTTCATAGGACACATGAAGTCCAGCAGGGGTCAAAAACCAAAAGGAAGAACTAACAATCACACGAGATTCGCCGGATCCGTTTCTTCTCCGGCCAAGTCTTCCAGCCGATCCCCATAAATATCATCAAACGGAAGATTAAAATCCCCACCGCCTAAATCGTCCATGTAAAAAGTCCCGCCAATTTTCGAATTCCCCAACTCCAATTCCTGCTCCTCCTCCATGCTTCTATCCGAGAAATTCTCGTAAATTTCGCGTGAGGCCTCTCGGTAGAAAACCGGGGGCTCGAGGAAGCTCGTCTGTGGGCCCGGGCCCTGAAGCCGGGTTCGGGCCCACCATTGGCTTCTTGCGGGCCTCTCTGCGCCGTCGGGTTCGTGGTGCTGCAAAAAGCTTTCCTGGAAAAGTGGCGCTGACGTGGATGCTTCCAGGTGGCGACGGTCCTCAAACGGGTCATCCTCGTCATCATCCCAGTTCTCGTCATATTTCGGGTTGGGTCGGATGATCAGATTCGGTGGGGGGGTCCAAAAATCGTCCTTAGGGGCGTTTTCGTAATTTCTCGAGGGTGTTGTTGGATTCTCCTCCTCTTCTTCTCTGTCGTGATTTTGAGAGGTGTAGTACCAATCCAAAATGTAGGGGAAATTCTTGTGTTCGACTTCTATCAGCCAAGTGGATTCTGATTTCGACCGGAAATTTCGCGGGCTGCTTGTTGTGGAGTTCTTTTCTCTCGAGAAGAGGAAGCTGTTCCGGTTTTGGTAGTTCGGGCTGTTGGTTCGATGATGATGACCTGGCAGCTTTTGGTCTCGGAATTTTTTTAGAGACTTCAAGAATTGTTTGCCGTCGGGATTGGGCTCCCAAGAAGGATACGCAATCTGAAAGCTGCGCATACAAATATTTTTAGCTACATATTGCATCGCATTTTTGAGTGAATTGTTAAAACAAAGCTTCTAGGCGATTTTTATGGTAATTCGAAAAAAAGATCAAGTATTACGATGTTTTGTTTCGAACGAACCTCAAAAACGACTTCTCCATTTTCCCCTGCGAACTCCTTCGATCACAAGGCGAATTGTATGTTGATCCATACTTCCGATTTCCATGATTCTTGAAATTGAACAGGCTAAAACTGTCGGGGGAAAAAAAAAAAGTCACGCAATTACAAAATTGACAATAAATGAGAACTTTTGGAAGATAGTGGCTTAATGCATACCTACAAATATGACCTACACCTTCAACATCCACAGTGAAGTCCATAATGAATTGTAAGATGTCATCTACTCTCTGCGAGATTGACATCAAATCGAACAGTATTCTCAGGGAATAATCTTTTATAGTGGTGAAAAAAATTGTAAAGAGAATAAAACTGTGTAACAAACAAACCTTAGGAACAACAAATAAAAGTAAATAAGGTGTGAGAAAAATCGAGGCCATCTCCTCCATTAGCATCATCCCTGTGTACTGCACACCATGAAGTTTACATGTGTTGGTCTCTTTCATTCAATAAACTAATAGAAAATGCACACATATACTTGCAGCTTTGCACATAAACCTCATATATCCTAATATTGAACACAATACTTTACCGTAAATGTAAAATTTAAGTTGATATATTGCAATTGAAACAATACTAATAATAAAACGAAGCGTCTTTTCAACATATTTTTGAAAATTCAGTAATCTATGTGAAATCATCAAACAAGCAAAAATCATAATAAGTAGCTTGAATACCTGGAAAAGAGTTTCAAACTCGAGACGTACAGTCTCAGTGTGCTCTTTCCCACGCCATTTTTTCGGCATATAATGCGTGTGTTGAACAACAAGGGTCATGGCCCCTTGTGGATCGAGGACCAGAAGCTCATCCATCATGGCAGCTCGGCTTATAGCCGTTATAGTCCCGAAAACGGCCGCATACCAGAATAAATTTCGACCAAATATCTGACAGATGGTGAAAACAGAACACATAATAAGAAATGGCATCAAGTAAAAGACTTTGCACAAAACACAAATTCTGCTAGAGTCTGAAAAATTTTACATGGCCTTCCAGAAGGGATTCCTCGAGGAATGCGATGATTATGAGCACAGCAGCAAAACCACCGGAAACAAACGAGATGAATTTCGCAACGATAGATAAGATAGGTGAAGGGAACTGTTTTAAATAGTCTGAGGCGTGTGCTATGCTGCTGTTCATCCGGTGCTTGAACAAATGGTCAACCTAAGAAAGTAAATGACAGTTAATGGGAAATAATCCTCATCGTAAAGAAGCTATGGGCACAAAGGGACGGAAGAGGTTAAAAATTAATCTATTAAAAAAGGATGAAGATGGGAACGGGCTAATTCACTTACAAATATTTAGCTAGAGTTTACAGTTAATAATGTTCTTTCAAGGTTAATAAGAATTATTTTATCCAAAAAAATATACATTTACTTTCCAAAAAAGATTCTTAGATTCCTTGGAGTAAACCTAGCATAGCCCTTGGCCATTTTCCAGTTTCCACACACACAGAGGCAGAGAGAGAGAAAGGGAGAGAGAGAGAGAGAGAGAGACATTGGCACTTAAATCAGGATAAAGTTCGAGGAGTACCTCATTGAATTCCCTGAACATCCATTTAGAGAGATTTGACCATCTACGAGATGATGCAGTACTCGGATGGTTATAGAATTGTTCTGCGTGCCTCAAAAAGAGGTATACTAGCATGAAAATAACAAGGAATGGGGAGAGAAGAAGCAGTGCAAAGCCGACTATCATAAGCCTTTTCTTCAATGTATTGGGATCAGAAACAAAATCCCTTCGTATGCAGAAATTTCTGTGGTAACAGAAAGAAAACTATGAAAATCACCCCAAATTTACATTCCTTAGAGAAGTAACACAAAACAACTATCATAAACTTTTCTTCTCCATCACGTTATGATCCAACGACACAATCCCTCTATAAAAGTAACGTTCGCAAACAGCCCAGAAATAAACATTGTCTAATAACTTTTTTAGAATATTCAGCATAAAACGAAGTTGACGAGTTACCTGTCGAACATGCTCTGCAGTATGCACCAATTCAAGGTCCACTCGAGGGTCTTTGGCAGAACCAGACGATGCTGAGCAGCATTTAAGCCGACATTGATAGTTGTGCCAGCACCCGGGACCCACCAAGACATTGGAAAGGAAAGTACCCCTTTGTTGAGCATCCCAATCAAGTAATTCTCTTTTCTCATCAACCTCATCACCACATCGTGAATAGAAAGATCCTTCACCACACATAGCTTCTGTGAATGCTGCACCTGAACGACTTTCTCAAGTATCGAAGACCATGGCATAGTCTGGATTTCATTATCCGTGACATGTAGACTGCACAAAGGCACCCCATCAGTTAACTTGGTTGTCTAAAAAAAAAATGGGCTACAAAAAGGTACTAGGTTTTATGGATTTTTACCAATAACCATCTAGAAATACCTGTTGTAGTAAAATCGACGGATCTTTAAAGTCTCCTTCAATTGCGCAAAGAACCTCAGAAAGCAGAAAATCCAGTAGATCGAGAAAATACCCAAATACCCTACAATTATAGCCTTTGAGAGAGTAAAAGGGGTCAATGGATGCTCATGCAAAGCTTCCTTGGACAGGTCACAGGGTTTGATACCCGACTCAATTGCATCCATCCCACATTTTGCATTTCGAAGGCCGTTCCAATCGACATAAAGCAAAAAAAATCCAGAGAAGCATATAGTGAAAGCCAAGCTTAGAAGCTCAAACACCCACTTAATGATAATGCACCAAAGACCCTTTTCGCAATAATAGTTGTAAACCCTCTCGAAGAACAGATCCAAGTCGTCAATCGGCTCGGAATTTAAGATCTCTCCATCAAGAAACCCAGACGGGCTTTCACTGCAGTGACTAGGCGCTTTGTGGTAATCGGACAACTCGATTTCATGAGGCTCATCATTAAGAAGCCCAGTGGTTAGAGATGTTGTACTATGCCTTTTCCAATTGAATAAATTGAGAGCGTGAACGCCTTTTTGCCCACTGATTCTGAACATCACTCATACAAACTGACAGCAGGCAAAAACAGCCAGTCCATTACCCGGATGGCTCGATCAGAGCACCATGCTGGAAAAAAACCCGAAACTTAACCAAATTAACCAAATGCTCGTGAACATGGTGACACTAAAGTTTATAAGAACAATGAAAATACAGTTTTTGTTATCAGAAATGTAAACCTGTGCTGCCTAGCTATCTCAGTAATATAAAAATCACATCTTTAATTAGGAAACCTAGGAACAAAAGTCTTCAGCCCCAGTCAATTGTTCTTTGATTACATGCTAATTTCATTTCCAACTCAACAACGCAGCTATAGTTACAGTAAGCTTCCAACAAAGAGGGACGGCAAAAACAAAGCATTATCGGAAATTCCACTCGATCAACTAGACAAAAGTCATAATAGAAGAAATGGCAGTACAGCTATTAAACAATTAAGTGTACAGCAACATGATTACACGGAGTTTTATTAAAAACCCACTTAATAGAAAAATAAAAACGTAAAATTTCAATTCTATAAGTTCATGCTGGAGAATCCCAACATCAAACCAAATAATCCCAAAAGCTCTTCTCGAAGATGGTGAAAATAAGGTTTATAGGAACAATACAAAATGCAGTATTTGGGTATCAGAAATATGGCCCGGAGCTGCAAAGCTATCACAAATATCAAAACTGCGTCTTTAATCCGAATCCTACTATCAAAAAACTTCATCCCAAACCAACAGTTATTTTTCTGTTTTCTTTTATAAGCTAATCTCACTTTCCCAAAAATTATCGCAGCTAGAATTAACACAAGCTTCAAACAATGGAAGGCAAAAGCACTATCGAAAACCCAAAAATTCAATAATACAACAGTTGAAGAGCAGTATGTCTAAAAGGAGTGTTCTTGAAAACCTACAAAAAAAATATAAAGTGACAGGATCAAATTTATAAAACCCACCTCAAAAACGATATATCGAGAAACAAACAGCCAAAATCCACCGACTGAATTTCCAAAGTAAGTTCAATAGTCTTGCGAAAAATTGCGACGACGGTACACGAGATAATCAGAAATACTTAGCAGACACAAAATTGAATCAATAAGTAATAAAGCTTGTATTTTTTTTTCTCGGGAAAATCGATGGCGTGGAAGATGAATTGATTGAAGGCGAAAGGGTTATAGGTTGCGTGGCGTAGAGTGCTTTCTTTTTTCCACTGTAAACTAGTGTATATCCCGTGCGATNATTTTTTTTTTATTATTATTTTCATCGGAGTAGGAGAGGAGGCGTGACGCGTGAGATGAAAATTGAGAAGAATTAAGGGACATATTTGATGTGTCCTCTTTTTCTTTAGTTCTTCACTTCTACACTTTTTTTTTCCACAATAGTTATGCTTGTTATACATTGCTAATTGGCTACATCCATATTATTAACATCTAAATTAAATTATTGGAGATGACATTCTACACCTTTTTCAATTATAGCTACATCTAGAATTCTAGATTATTAACATCGAAATCAAATATGAGGATGAAAATGGGTTATATAGTGGGGTTGAATATAATAACTTCATAAAAGTTTTGTCAAGTTACAAATGTGTTAGCTCCAATAATTGGAACATATTTTAAAGAAAAATACGAAAAAAAAAGATATATTTCAAAGTAAAACAAGACATATATAAAAATTGTAAAAAATACCCAAATTGACTAAAAGAAAGCTATAACTTAGGACTACAAAAATATAAAGAACAATGACAAAAAATATATAAATCAGCAGTCATGCTTGCATAAACTAGGGAAAAGGCGGGTTTTGCTTAATAATGTTCTCTTCCTTTCACCCTTCTCCCCACCAAAAAAAAAAGATGGGCTAATAAACCTTTGAGAAGCCAACATCTTCAACCCAAATGGGCTTCTCATGTCAGCACGACCCAATTAAAGGCCCATTTATATGTCTGCCATTCCCAACCAAATTCTCGTCCAAAAAGATATAAAATTACATAAATACCACTTTGATTCCCCCGCGAGGAATTTGGCGCGAACGCCCCGCCATGTCACTTTCCCCGCCAAAAAACCAGAGGCTACAAAAAACCCTACGTCGATTCCTTTTGAATCCATCAATTTCTCACCTCCAAAATCCATCAGGTTCGCGTCCGATTGTGCGTTGCCGTGCAGACATGGACGCCGCCAAACCTCCGCCGTCTTACTCGCTCAGGTCAAAGAAGCAGTCGCAGTCACCCGCCAAGTCGGATCTGAAGGAGCGGAGAGCTCCTGAACCCGACCCGAGTCCATGGGCAGTGAAAACGCCCGGCAAGCCTGCCAATCCCCCGAGAAGGACGCGCAACCGTGGTGCGGCTATGTCGATCAAGGAAATCAGGGAGGCGGCCATGAAGCTCCGGGGACGCAGATCCGACCCGTCTGAAGAGATTGGGCATGTGGTTGAATCCAAAGTCGAGCCCGTGGCTAAGTCGAAGAAGCCTTCTGTGTCAGAGATCAAGCTTCCTGAGAAGTAAGTGGATTTTTTTTTTTTTTTTGTCTTAAAGTAAGTGGATTTGGGTTTACTGTCTGTATGCGAGAATTTACTTTTATTTTTTTGAAGATTTGTTCGATCATTCAAGTGTTTATACTACTTTGGTGTCCAATATTTGATTTTGGTGTTATTTTGGTATTTTGAAGAAGTTTTTCATGGGATCTGTTGGATACTTTTCTATTAACAGATCCTTTTCTATTTTGTAAACAAAATGATTTTGCTTGACTTTTTACCACGGGCTAATCAGGAAATGAAAAAAAGATAAAAAAAAAATGTGTTTTGAATCCCCCAGTATTCATTTCATCATGACGCTTGATGAGATAAATGTTACACTTGATTTATTTGTCTGGTTCAATAATAGAAGCTGCTTGATCGAGAGGTTTGGTGTTGGATGAAATGAACTCTACACTCGATTGGTGTCTTTTTTGTTTATTATCTGTATGGTCCGATAATAGAAGCTGCTTGATCGAGAGGTTCCAGAGCTGTAGGATTTAATCCAATTTAACAGTAGTCAGTATATTTATCAGAATGAAATTATTTTCAGTGTGGAGTGAGTAAAGTATCAAGCTACCTCCCGAGCAGAACACTGTACCCTTCTCTGGCTATATGGATTTGAGTTTATAGTTAAACAGCTTATTTCCGACAACATGTTCATTTTTATTTTAATATCTCATGGAGCATTACTCGTCAGTAAAGATTCTGTCCATTTCTTCTTCAGTTTTCTAAGATCAGTTTTATTATATATGTAATGACTAATGATATTGTTAATGTTTTTGCTTCAGGTATGAGTTGTTGGATAAATTCTTCAACAGCTTGGACAGCTCAATCAGACTACTACACTTGAAGGGATCTGCCCCAATATTTGCTCATATTAGTTTCCAAGTAGAAAGTTTAACTGACAGGTATCTTGATTCAGACTGTCATATCCATGTATCGCTTACACATTTGCATTTGATGTGTTCTTTCATAGTTTTTGAATTTTTTGTTAATGTTGTTTTCCTTGTACTTTTCCCAGGAGGTTCACATTTAGTCATTTAGCCCAATTGAAGTTCATCATGCCTGAGGCAATTATGTTAGAGAAAGTCTTGCGGCATGATGAGCGCACGAGCTGCATGAGGCCTGACCTTCGCATCACATTGAATGCTGAAGCAGTTGAAAGCAAGAGCACGTCTCAATCTCTTAGTGGAAATTTGAGGTTGAGAAAGGTTTTCCGAAGCCGGCTTCTGGAATTTTTAAAAACTCATACAGAGGTATAACTTTCACACTCCTTCCTTTGGCTGCTTTACTGTTCAGGGTTTTGTTTTCTACACCCAATAATTGAAACTCTGATGTGATTTGTGACATGTGTTATCTGAATACTTTGTATTTTGATGGTTTTATTCGTTCTATCATGGTTATTGATGGATGACAGAAGATAATATTAGGAGTTTTTGCAATTTTCACCCAGAAATTGGATTTGTTAACTTTCAGGCTCATATATAACTAACTCTGGAATATGATCTGGTTTTGTAAGGTTAATTGCCTATCCATATACTTGGTTGATGGTGGAACTCTTGAATCAATAGACGTCCGTATCTCTACTTGTTTGTGTGTGCATCTCTTCAGTTTCCATAATCTGCTAATCTGATTTTGAAGGAACTTGAAGCATTAGTTAGCTGTTGTTTACCAAGAATGGTGCATAGATAATGTTCATACATGTTGATTAAGTATAATTATTTTTTTATTAATTTTTATTTGCATCTGTCTTGTTCTAATTGATAAGCTATTGAAAAATTCTTGTAACCTAAATCAGGGCGAAGAAGTACCAGAGGGACCTCTGCCAGAACCTTTTAGTCGACCGAAGAAAAATGCAAGTGAAAATTCTGTACAGCCCTCAACTTCACATTCAATGACAGAGACACCACTGTTCGGAAGAAAACCATTCGCATCATCACTTCTGCCTCCATCGTTTAAACCCCGCTTCACACAAAGAGCTTCCGTCGATAGCTTAGAAAATTCTAAGCAAGACAAATCACTAGTTTTGGAAGAAAAATCTCTTCAAAATTCTTCAAATTCTCCATCCAAGTTACCTATTAACTCTCCACACAGTGAAAACTGCTCTTCAGACAGAAACCTGTCGTCACTTCATGAAACACCGGTCAAATGTGTAAAATCCGTTGAGACAGTGTCTGTACAAAGCACGCCAGTGGGCCCCAACTCAACTCCCGCTAAGCTGATGACTGCCACACCTGCCCTTCGTCCGCCAAAGAGAAGTCAAATGAGCCCTAATTATAGCTCGTGTGGATCACCAAGCAAACTTATCAGGCGGCCACCCCCAAATAGGCCTCTGAAGTTCGACACCCCTGTAAAGAACTCGAAAGTTAATCTTGAGCTTGATAGAAGCGGAAGTCGATCAAGTGGTGGTGATGACATTTTGGACATTCTCCCAGATGCTCTCGTACAATCGGTACGTATTTTTCTATTTCAAATTTTTGGATGTCGAACTTAAGATAACCAGCTATATCTTCAGAAATGCAAGTTCTCTCCAAACCATTTTTCGTACTTACAAACCGTTTTTCGTACTTACAAACCGTTTTTCGTACTTACAAGTGCTCAACTGCTTGATTACTTTTCACAGATACGTGAGAAGGAGAGGCTAGCCGCAATCGAACAGGACCCAGCAATATCTCGAGCAAAATGGAGGCAGAAAATGATAGCTACCTTGCCCAAGCGGTTTGACACAATCTACTACTTATTTCAATCGATGGGTCGTTCAGTGGTCACTAAAGAGGAACTGATTCAGAAAATCGTGACTGGTGATTTGAAAGTCACCGATAGAAGTAAGCCTTGTCTTTCATGAAAAAAAAAATAAAAAAATAAAAAAAATTGAGCATTATCCGTATTTGCAAAGTGTCACTTTGATCCTAAGTCTGCAATGTAATTACAACAGATGAGGTTGAGGAGCAACTTACATTGCTACAAGAACTGGTTCCTGAGTGGATTTACGAGAAGTCGATAACGAGTGGGGATCTCCTCATATGGTAAGTCTGTCTTTGTGGATGCATAAGAGGATCATTGTCATAAATCATAATATAACTGGAATTCATTTTATCTCACACTTTGTCATCACTACTAATTACTTTTGCAGTGTTAACAAAATCTCGAGTCCTGAGGCGATACGCACAAGGCTGTCCGAGGCCAAGTGAATGCTCTCTCTTTCTGTGTGGGACGATACCTAGGAGTATGTTCAATGTCAAAAGCCAAACTCGAGAGTATCAAGACCTGAGTACTTCTTTTAAGGTTTTGTGCCTTTACCAGCTAAGGGAGCCATATCAAGACCTGAGTACTTCTTTTAAGGTTTTGTGCCTTTACCAGCTAAGGGAGCCATAAATGAAACTCGCGACTTGCAGATGCTTAGTTTTATCAGCAGCCATTGTACAAACCGATGCCCTTTTTTTTTTTTTTGCCATTGTCTGAAGCGAGATGCGGTACCTTTGTGTTAGGGAGCTCATGTGTCATCATTGACAAGCCATAGGCCCAAAATATTATTGTTGTTGGCAAACGAAGTTCTTGGAATGTAATAATGGTGAAATTACTATTTATTAGTGTTAGCAGTTTGTCTAGTCTGTCCACCATCTTCTTTTTTTCCTTTTTTTTGTAAAAAGAATTTCTGCAAACACAAATCTCTCCTTTTTCTTTTCCTGTTTGCACCATAAAAGATACATCTTTAAAATATAAAACCAGGAAGAGACATATTTGCACAAGGGAAAATTGGGTATAAGTACTTACTGAGTACGTTTTGAAAAATATCACATGTTAGCAGTAAAACAAAACTTAAATATATTTCTTAAGTTCATTGTCTCGTTTATGTTCATTCTTGTTTCATCTATCAAGTCGTAGTCCGTGTTCATGGAATCTATCTTTATCCACCTGCTGCTACATTTCTGAAAAAACAGTAGTTGTGTGCCTAATACATGAAGGAAAATGCAGCATTATTATGTTGCCTTTGTTTGCTCAAAAGGAAAAATAATTATTTAACTTTTTATAATCAACTCACTATGGGCTTTAGCTCGAGTATCAAGAGGGCAGCTCGGCTAAGCTCGTTTGCACCACTATTGTAATTTTACCATTCTTCACTGTATGCTTATTAACACTTTCTGATTAGATATCCTTGTATTTTTCTAAGGTTATAGAGCCCCAAGTTTTACTTGAATATAATTCTAACAAAAACAGAAAAAATCCATGCACAAATATTTCATATAACACGGGATATTTTTATCTCACTAATTAATTGATATAATATAAGCTGTGCACAAACCCATTAAAGTTGTGGCCAAAATCCAACCAGTGATCGATCAATCCCTAGCCCATCCATAGCTTCAAAACTTTGTCTTTGCCTCCAGATGCTACTTTCTCACCATCTGGACTCCAATCAACTGCAAATACCTAAAATACTCCAACAAATTCGAACGAGAATGTGCAGAAATGGGATTAAACGAACTCGAAACCCAAAAAGAGAACAATTATTCTTTGAAAATAAAAAGTCACCTCATCTGCATGCCCTGGAAGATCTTGCTTCAACTTTTGTGTACGAATATCCCACACCTGTTTAAAAAAAACCTCACATGTTAGTTTTGAGGTGCAATTATTCGAGAGAGCATTTTTTAATTATCAAATGAGGATATACCTTCAAGGTCGAGTCTTTGCTTCCGCTCAAGAGCAGCCTGCTGTCAGCTGACCAGCTGAAGCAAGATGTGCCGATTCAGATGTATAGCCTCAATACATATAATAATAAACACGTAAAAAAGCAAAGAAATGTAACCTAATTTGGTAGACGGGGCCCACATGACCACGGAATGCAGCCACGAATTTTCCAGTGACTCCGTTCCATAATTTAACCGACTTGTCAAAGGAGGCACTCGCGATCCACAGCCCATCCGGAGAGAAGTAGACATGATTTACAAGCTACAGCACAGCAAATTCTGAGATTAGGAATTTGAACATGGTGTGATAATTCTTTGTCCACGCACAATTTTTTCTTTTTTTTTTTTTTTTGGCACANGCACAAAAACAACGCTTTTAATTTGAGTACCTGTTGATGTCCAGTCATACGAGTTTTGGGGTGTTTGCTGACAGCAGGTTCCCACAGGAACATGGTAAAATCATCCGAACCTGAAACTAACCTTTCTGGGGCACTGCCTTTGAGTACCTGTTGAGTACCTTTCTAATGCTACCTGGTACAGGACAAAGCCCGTCAGACTAAAGTATTTAATTTATTTTGTAAAAACTGTTGTAATAATGATTTACTTCTCTGAACAGTTGTCTTCAAGAAAAGAAATAATACACAGCTCAATATTTTAGTGAAGAAAAGAAAATATATATTACTATATGACTTGAGGAAGATGTTCAAGATCAATCAATTACCTTCTTCATTTCTTCTGGAGACGAATATGTTTTACTGGTGTGATCATATGCACCAGTTCGAAGAACATACTCGGTACTCAATGCCAGAGAATTTACCCAATGCCCATGGCCCTACACAATATGTAGAATCAAACAATTGAAATTGACAAAACGCTCGAGCTTTGAATAATTGGAGTATGAACGAAAGACCAAATCAACAATAGAATAACTGAAAAACCTGCCTCATAAGTTATAATAATATACCATACAAAAATCTTCTTAACAAAATCACTGGAAGACGGTTCTGACATGCCCTCCCAAACAATATACTTAACAAATCTTTAACAAAACCTTTTTGCACCAAGTACAAGGAAAAAATAGTAAATAACAGACAAATACCCAAACATAAGAAACACAAACAATATTAAACTCGGTCTTTCAACATATGCCAAAGTGGAACAGATCCACTCTAAAAGAACCAGAGAGATGCAGAGAAGATATACTATTATCGACTTGTCAAGAAGAATACCTTTAGTTCGCGTATTAGCTTCCCTTGTGTAGTTTCCCACATTTTAATTGTACAGTCCTGAGATCTGCAAGGAAAACAGAGAGGGTGTTCACCACATATATTTTTATCACATACATGATAGCTTCATCTTTCTAGCCCTCAATGCCCTCCAAAGTCAGCAAGACGCTAGAAATAAATTTCTAAGATTCATTCCAAAATCACAACTTCAGTGAGTTACTGGAAGCTTGTTCCAGTATAAGATTGGACAAATAGAACTAGCATATTAGTCATACTGATCATGACATATACGATAGCCCGACAAGCATCTCGAATTTCCAAGCATATTAGTAGCATCACATCAAGAACAAAAAATGCAAGGATACCCTGAACCAGTAGAGAAGAAGTTTTGCTTTGGAAGCAGGTTTATCATGTGAAAATTAAACGCATACCCTGTATATATGACTCCATCTCCACCCCACTTCACACAAGTTATGGCAAGTGTGTGTCCCGTAAGAACAATAACACATTTTCTCAGTGTAACATCCCATATTCTTGCATCGCCATCTTTACTTGCACTGACAAAACGGCGGCATGGAGCACTAAGATGCACCGGCTCCCATGAAATTCCAGTTAACCATTTCTTGTGACCCTGAGAAGTGAATTGCATCACAAAACTAGTCTCTTAGGAAATACAAAGATGCACATGGATAAATGATGACTTTTGGGTAATATAACTAGAATTAGTTTCCAAAAAGTAACTAATAGAACCACCATGTACATGGCATTCTTGAAACAGGTTGGCTAATATGCAAATTTATAACATTGACAGCAGACAGATAACTATTGAAAGCCTTGGGAAATTAAACTAGCCACAAAATAAATGATAGTGAAGCATGAATGTACAGAAAAACAATAACCTAGAATACGTAAGTGTTTTCCTTCATAATATTTTACAATGTCTTGAAATTTCAATATGAAAATTATCTTTCACGCTTCAATGCCAGGGTATAACTTTAAAATTGTAAAGATTGAACATATTATAAAATAGGGTATAACTTTAAAATTGTAAAGATTGAACATATTATAAAATTCAATTCTTGCAGGATATTTGGTAGTTATTTTTTCCTTGGTATTTCCAAAGAAAAGAAAGGCAGAGAAAAAAAAATGTGATATTATAACTTGCAAAGTTGTCTAGATAGAGAATATTGATCCTAGCGCGGTCAATTGCATTTAAGGTAACTATGCAATATGTCATCAAGAGTAATAATCAGACCAAGATGGAAATAAGCCTAGTTAAACAAGTTATGTTTTGAACTCACAGTAAGAGGGTTTCCTGATGGTTTGCCAGTCTGTGGGTCCCAGCATATCAGTTCTCCAGACTTGCTTCCGCTAACAAGATGCTTACCATCTGGCGACCATGCAATACAAAGTACCCAGTTTCTGTGTCCTGAAAAGATAGAAAAATTGTGCCACGGCTACCATAAATCTCTACTACAAATAAACCAGCCATAGTACTATATTCAGCTAAATTGCATTATAATCAACTCAAACCAACTGAGTCTTGTTTCTATAATGAAAAATTCATCAAATTCTTGAAAGAGAAAACTGACTTGCAGCTCTCACTTATACAGCAGACCGGATTCTAACCTTTACACGTGAATAACGGAGTTTGCGTATTTAAATCCCATAACCGTACAGTGGTGTCACCCGATCCACTAGCCAACTGGCGTCCATCTGGACTAAATGCCACAGAAAGCACAGCTTCAGTGTGACCTGAAAATTCAGAACCATGTATGATGTAGCAATAACGAATGTATGAACACGATGTAGTTAAGATGCTTCAAGAATCCTTTTAGTAAATCATAGAGCTACAAGAGTGGTAAAAAAAAATAATATTGAAAGAGCTATGGTGCCGTAGAGCACATATCTGAACAAAGCCCAAAATACATACTGGCAATAAATGCATGCAAGCAATAAAAGAAAAATTTCATACCAGCAATAGTGGACGAACAACGAGTTACTGGCCGTATCCTAAATACTGCTTGGGGCTGGTAAACTATTGTGATGACTTTCTCCACAGACACTGCACCAAAATTACTGAGTATTAGCAACATTTGGTATATGGTGCTACAGAATTTGATAGATACAAATAGCATTAGTGGGAACCTAACCTTTATTCTTCTGAAGGTATGATCCTAGCTGCACTACAAGTTCATTGTCTGATACATAAAACGCATAAGGTAATTTTTCCTCCTGCAATGGTTCAGGGCCATTATCAAACTCAACCCAGTAAACTAGTCAGGTATGCAAGTGTGAGCGTACAAATTACATCGTCTACAGTAAATATCTTCAACAGACCACAGAAAAAAACTAAAACATCAACAGTATCTTCAACACACCACAAAACACAACTAAAACGAGCTGACACAGTGAAAAACAATCAACATGTACCAAAATTGACTTTAAAATCGAAAAACCTGCAAGCCCGTCTTTATCGAACTGCATTCAGACTGCACAAGAACTTACGTTGTTGAGGAGCTTGTTGACCAGCTGCTGGAGCTCCTTCGGGCCGGCGCTTTCAGGTAGGAAAATTGGCGCTCCGAGAGGAGTACCTTCTGAATCCGTCAATTGACATATTACGCGATTGGTCAATTCCCTTTCTTCCTCCATAGCTACTACTCCCGCCACTGTTTCCACTTCCATCTTTCCCCCAACTTGACTGGAAATTGGGGGATTTCCCCTCTATTGTTCTGTTAGAGGTAGTTTAGGGTTTATGGGGGGGTTTTTTTGAGCCCTTTTGACTGGCTGCTCACTCTAATGAATGAGACTGGAAACGAGTCGAGCTTGCTCGAGTCACCTTGATAGCATCTTCAATTTTAGCTTTGAAAGACAATAGTTTTCAACACATGTCAATTATAATGATTATAAAGTTAATACACATATAAATAATGTTAAAACACTAAAAAATTGAATTGTACTAGTATCTACAATGCATCAATTTGATAAAAAATTATTTATATAGATTGATCAATTAAAATAATTAATTGATAAAAGAATAATAAGAAAATAAACCAAATAAAAAAGTAAATTGATGAGTCATCATGTTTAAAACAACATATTGCTAGATATTAGAAAGTAGTTCAATATTATCAACATTAAGAGCATCTTTAATATGACTTTTGACATTATAAAAAGTCATCCACATCATCAACTTTTAAAAGTATGTTACTAATTTTTTTTTCAAATGCATCTTAAAGACATGAACTCTTTCATGATGAGATGACTGCCATTTAATGTTGACAATGTTGAGCCAACTTTGTAATATCTAACACCATGTTAAACATGATGACTCATCAATTCAATTTATATTTGTTTTAATCTTTTATTTTTCTTGTATCAATTAATTATTTTAATTAGTCAACCTATACAAATAACTTCTTATCAAATTGATCCATTGGAGATACTAACTAGTGTATACCCCGTGCGATGCACGAGAACAAAATTAAATTAACAATATTATAAATAGACCTCGAGTTTGAGTCACTCAATAGCGGAAGTGAAAACTACTATTGATCCTATTTAAAAAAGCGAAAGAAAAAAAATTTATAAATTAAAGAGGAGGATAAACAATACTTAATAATTATAAATTAAATATTCGGGTCAAACAATGTAAAACTATTTTGTATAAGAGAATATCAAATTTACATTATTTTGTATAAGAGAATATAAAATTTGTATGTTTAATATTAAAAAAACCTAAAATATTATATTAGTATATGTAAAAGAATTCAAAATTTTCTATATTATTTTTGAAAGATGTGAAGCCACCTACAACTTTTCTAAACAATTTTAGAAGGAAAACATATCTAAAAACATTTGAATTTAACATTGTGTAAAAAAAGATTTTTCTATACTATTTTGTAAAGAAAACATGTCTACAAATATTTAAATTTAACATCAATTATGTATATGTATATATATATATATATATATGTATATATAGACGAATATGTAAAAAAAAATGTCTAAACAATTTGTTTAAAATATCTAAAATATTATAAGACATGTCAGATACCGAATTTATGGCGGTACTTCCATCTAAAAAATTTGATTACACATCATTATTATTATACTTTTTACGTTGTTATCGAGGATGTATTGTTAGCTTATAATATTTGTAAATATATTAGTAATTAGACCAATGAAAATTAGCTTTTTAAAGTAGATAATGGATTTCTAGTAGTAATTATGAATTGGTTTTTATTTTATTTTATTTTCTTAAATCTTTATAGATAAGAGATGAGATTTTTTAAAGACGTATGCAATGAGATTTTGTAACAGATAAGAGATAAATTCTAGATTTATGCTATGAGATTTTATAACACAATTTTCAATACCCAAAAAATAGGAAAAAAGAAAACAGATTCTAACACAATTAATCGGCCGATTTTGTTGCCTTATCAATATTGTCCAACAATTACTATATATAGGATACATTTAATGTATTTGGCGGGAAAACATTTCTAAAATTGTAAAAAGGTTATTCTTTTTATATATTGATAGATTTGATTAAAATTTCTAAGCTTTTAACATTATTTCTACGTAGATTAACATTACAATCATTAACTGACATGTGTTATAGATAATTGTCTTTCAAGCTCATAATATTGGAGATGCTCTAAATATCATCCACATCATCATGAAAGAGTTCAGGACAAGATACACTGAAGAATAAATTAGTTACACACTTTTAAAAGTTGATGATATGGTGTAACGCCCCGTTTTATTTTAAAGGATTTACCAAATTTATTTATAAAAATCAGAGTTTATTTTTTGCGAAATTCCAATTTAAAACTTTAATATTTAACAGGCGCTACTTAAACAACTAAAACCAATAAACATTTACACAGGTACAATCCAACCGTTCAAAATAAAATCCAATTTATTCATAATCCTCAAACCCAGTCATGCATAATAAAATATTCCAACATGTTCGAAATAAATAAGGCGGAAGCATAAATATTCAAAGTTAAAAAAATGGTCTATCCAGATAATAGAAAGAAAAGCGGAAGCAAGTAACACACAATCCAACGACCACCACTCGATCGTCCCTCGCTGCCGCCGACAACCATGCTCAACCTAAAAGGATAGGAAGAGGAACAAGAGGACAGAAAAAGTAAATGAGGGTGAGTACAACCATCATACTCACCATTACCGCACAGTATATTTCGCAAAACGATCCATAACCATAAATAATGTATGCATAGAATCCAGATCTAACTCTCTATTAGGCCCTATCGCAAACCTCCTATGTACATACAACAAACCTTCCGACCTGACATCGGCAAGGATGTAACTGGAAGCACTCCCACCCCGGATGCAACGGGCGTAGGATCTTACCAGGAGACAGTGAAGTTGAATTACCCCTCCGCTCTACACGGATTCGGGCGTTCAGACAATCTCCTCCGCTCTACACGGATTTGGGCGCCCACCTCCCGGATACAATAGGCAGATGACTTCCACTGATTATGCATTCATCAAAGGCACTACCATCAGGATACTTAGACGAGGGTTCTCACACATACAAAAACTATCGCGACAAATATTTATACGAAATAACAAGTGCGATAAATGTAGATTCAACATTAATGAACTCACCTGGTAGCGATCGAGTCAAACACAAAAATAAATGGTAGGCGGCGAGGTCGACTGGTCAAACACCTACATTAGTAATATAGCCTTATTAAAGACTATTCTATAACCTCCAAGTTTAATTAAGTTCACGTAATCATTTAAGCATGCATTAAAATAAGGGAAAACACGTTTTCGGAAATATCACATAAGTTTTGAAAACTTGACCCGGGCAGCGTTTTTAAAATCGACATAACTCTCAGCATATAACTCATATGAACATGAATCAAGTTGCATTGGAATCCTAAGACATGAAACTACAACTCTTATGAAGACACTGAAAGCAAATAATGTCACTAACAGGTAATAAATAGACAAACATTAAAATTTGAGTCACAGTCCAAAACTGGGCAGTTAGACTTGACCAGACTTCAGTATTTACCATATGACTGGAGCTACAGGCATGCTATTAATGAAATTCAAAACCCACATGATAGATAACTCAAATGTCTACAACTTTGATGAAGATCATATTGGAAAATAATCACATTAACCACGATTTTAAACACAAAACATGTGACTCCGTAAATCTGTCAAAACTAGTATAATGAACATGGACAACACCTCAGTTTTTAACCTTTATCTTGCGTTACAGACCTCTAAATGATATGGTTCAAGTCTCAAATTAAACCTTAGGAATGCATCTACAGCTTTCATTTAGAACATAGAAACATATGAGCTCATTTGGATAGTGAAAAATCGGTTAACATACATTATCAGATTTCTGTCAAAGTGGTAAACCTTAACTCATGCATATCTAACTTCATGTGAACACCATTCAAGCTACAGAGCACATATCAACATAAAATTTATCTCATTTGAAAGATAAGAAACAAATCTACAACTTTTATGAAGAGTATAAGTTCATACAAGCACCTTATGATATGAAAAACAGGTCATACATTATATACATTTAAGCTGCCGGGTAACAGGAAAACTGGATGCGCACAAATTTTGTAAAAATTATAACTTTTTCGATATAGCTCAGAATCGAGAAATTCCAAAGCTTAGATTTAGTAAACTGGAAAAACTACAATTCTCATGAAGGTCACGAATTCAAATAACCAGCCTCTGATGGCTTAAAATGCAGCACAACAGAACAGTGAAAATCATGATTCCACATAAAATGACAATCATATGCATTTTGAATATTCGAATCTCAACCTCGGTTCATATGACGACTCGACAGCCCATATTTTCACTTATACCTCAGCAACAAATGAACATATTGAGGGTCTCATAACGACTAATGACGTTCGATAAATTTTAGACGAGCAATTATTTAAATCGAGCATGTAGACATCAACACACATAAATTTTACGAACGTCACACATAATATCAATGATTGATGAGTTTAGCAAAACGGATTTACTGAACACCAAAGGGGGATAGTCGAGCTTCGGTTTCGGAGTTCGGAAACGACAAATCCTACGGGCGGGGAAGATCATCCGCTTGACTCGCTCGACGTTAACGGCGGCTCGCTCGACGAAGGTGATGACCGAAGGTTCGTGCTCGCGGGACGGACGAGTGAAGGCCGTCGATCGTGGTGGTGGCCGGCGTTGCTGCGTGCGGTGGAGGAGCGCAGGCGGGTGGCGGGTGCTGCGAGCGGGTGGAGGAGCGCGGGGGAGGATGGCTGGGAGTCTTTGCCGGCGAAAAAGAAAAATGAGAGAGTGAGAGATAGGGAGAGACCGAGAGAGGGATTGAAATGAGCAATGAAGGAGAAATGAGAGTGGGGGGTTTCAACTTTCCTTTAAGCATAAATTCAAGATTGTAACTCTCATCTCAAAAATTGGAAAGTGCATGGAGTGGGGGTCGGTTAGCATCAAATGTGGGATAGTGTTTAACCTTTCAAATTTTAAAAATTTTAAAATCATGCCCATGCATGCACAAAATAGAGAAAGAGGGGGTTACGAAAATAAAAATCTCATGACTTTGAATGAGATTGAATAAGGCTAGAATCAAGGGATGGCATATTTTTTTTGAATTTAAATTCAAAAGTTCAAAACAAAGGCTCATGCATGCACAAGAAAGTCAGGGGCGACGGGGCCGGATTTTTCATGCGTGGCGATTTTCTCCATGCGGGGCGGTTCGGCTAGGAGGAGAAAAGGGGCGGCCCGGTTCGATAAAAATAATACGCATACTTGTTCGGTTCGAAGGCTCGTTTATTTAATAT